CTGAGGCGCTTGGGCGCCCCCTGGAGGCGCGCTGCGGCGCGGCCCGGGAAAATATTCCCCAGATCCGCACCGCTCTGGCCAGGTTTGTCACCTCCCTGGGAATCCTGCGCAGGACGTCGCCGAGCGCGCAGCAGCCCGATGCCGAGCGCCTGGCCTTTCGCCTACCTGCAAGCCTGAGAGAAACTTCAGCGGCTCTCACGCTGCACCTGGAAAAAATTTCTGGGTCGAGAGGAAGGAGATGCTGTAACCCGGTAGCTGCAGCACTGGCCAGAAGTGAAAAAATATACGAAAATAGCAGCTCCCAGCTTGCACTGGCCACATCCTTTCTTCTGTCAACCCAGCCTTGAAGCGTCAGTGGCTCCCAGCAATGTCAAGAGTTGCAGCAGGCTGTAGCTTGGGGGCTGCTGGGCTAAAATCATCAGACCCACTTGCAGCTTTAGGACTACAACACTCGAAAAAGATGGCTTTTACTCGCCTTCTGGTCTTGGTGAATTATAACACGCTACACTGCGATCGTACCTTTTCAGCGTTTTTTAAAATAAGCTGCCAAGGGGAGGCGGCCAGGGCAAGAAAGGGTTTTGAGGGCCCCAAATTTTGTAATTTTTAAAAACTGCAGTAGTATCCATAGGGGAGTGATAGAAGACCCGCAAAGGAAGGTGTGTGTTCAGATGAACAGGCAGCAGCTCTGCAGGCTTTCTTTGAACCTCTCACCCTACAAGCGCCGTGCCGGTTTGCCTGCTCACAGCTGCACTCTCGAGGGAAGGAGCAGCGCACCCGCGAGCAACCGCAGGGACTTTTTCTCCCTCTGCTCCCTCCTTTAGTGTCACCCGGTTCGCTTCCCTCTTCTCTTTCCTGCTCGATGACAGTTCCTCTTTGCTGGCTGCCGCCAAGCGTTCTCTGCCTGCTCACGGCCAGCTCGTCGCTTGGCTTGTAATCATGACTAACGGGGACGGAGAGCAGCGGCTTGCTCCCGCTTCCCGCCTCTCTCGCCCCGCCGCCCGGGCCC